TTTTTTTTTTTTTTTTTTTTTTTTTTTTTTTTTTTTTTTTTTTTTTTTTTTTTTTTTTTTTTTTTTTTTTTTTTTTTTTTTTTTTTTTTTTTTTTTTTTTTTTTTTTTTTTTTTTTTTTTTTTTTTTTTTTTTTTTTTTTTTTTTTTTTTTTTTTTTTTTTTTTTTTTTTTTTTTTTTTTTTTTTTTTTTTTTTTTTTTTTTTTTTTTTTTTTTTTTTTTTTTTTTTTTTTTTTTTTTTTTTTTTTTTTTTTTTTTTTTTTTTTTTTTTTTTTTTTTTTTTTTTTTTTTTTTTTTTTTTTTTTTTTTTTTTTTTTTTTTTTTTTTTTTTTTTTTTTTTTTTTTTTTTTTTTTTTTTTTTTTTTTTTTTTTTTTTTTTTTTTTTTTTTTTTTTTTTTTTTTTTTTTTTTTTTTTTTTTTTTTTTTTTTTTTTTTTTTTTTTTTTTTTTTTTTTTTTTTTTTTTTTTTTTTTTTTTTTTTTTTTTTTTTTTTTTTTTTTTTTTTTTTTTTTTTTTTTTTTTTTTTTTTTTTTTTTTTTTTTTTTTTTTTTTTTTTTTTTTTTTTTTTTTTTTTTTTTTTTTTTTTTTTTTTTTTTTTTTTTTTTTTTTTTTTTTTTTTTTTTTTTTTTTTTTTTTTTTTTTTTTTTTTTTTTTTTTTTTTTTTTTTTTTTTTTTTTTTTTTTTTTTTTTTTTTTTTTTTTTTTTTTTTTTTTTTTTTTTTTTTTTTTTTTTTTTTTTTTTTTTTTTTTTTTTTTTTTTTTTTTTTTTTTTTTTTTTTTTTTTTTTTTTTTTTTTTTTTTTTTTTTTTTTTTTTTTTTTTTTTTTTTTTTTTTTTTTTTTTTTTTTTTTTTTTTTTTTTTTTTTTTTTTTTTTTTTTTTTTTTTTTTTTTTTTTTTTTTTTTTTTTTTTTTTTTTTTTTTTTTTTTTTTTTTTTTTTTTTTTTTTTTTTTTTTTTTTTTTTTTTTTTTTTTTTTTTTTTTTTTTTTTTTTTTTTTTTTTTTTTTTTTTTTTTTTTTTTTTTTTTTTTTTTTTTTTTTTTTTTTTTTTTTTTTTTTTTTTTTTTTTTTTTTTTTTTTTTTTTTTTTTTTTTTTTTTTTTTTTTTTTTTTTTTTTTTTTTTTTTTTTTTTTTTTTTTTTTTTTTTTTTTTTTTTTTTTTTTTTTTTTTTTTTTTTTTTTTTTTTTTTTTTTTTTTTTTTTTTTTTTTTTTTTTTTTTTTTTTTTTTTTTTTTTTTTTTTTTTTTTTTTTTTTTTTTTTTTTTTTTTTTTTTTTTTTTTTTTTTTTTTTTTTTTTTTTTTTTTTTTTTTTTTTTTTTTTTTTTTTTTTTTTTTTTTTTTTTTTTTTTTTTTTTTTTTTTTTTTTTTTTTTTTTTTTTTTTTTTTTTTTTTTTTTTTTTTTTTTTTTTTTTTTTTTTTTTTTTTTTTTTTTTTTTTTTTTTTTTTTTTTTTTTTTTTTTTTTTTTTTTTTTTTTTTTTTTTTTTTTTTTTTTTTTTTTTTTTTTTTTTTTTTTTTTTTTTTTTTTTTTTTTTTTTTTTTTTTTTTTTTTTTTTTTTTTTTTTTTTTTTTTTTTTTTTTTTTTTTTTTTTTTTTTTTTTTTTTTTTTTTTTTTTTTTTTTTTTTTTTTTTTTTTTTTTTTTTTTTTTTTTTTTTTTTTTTTTTTTTTTTTTTTTTTTTTTTTTTTTTTTTTTTTTTTTTTTTTTTTTTTTTTTTTTTTTTTTTTTTTTTTTTTTTTTTTTTTTTTTTTTTTTTTTTTTTTTTTTTTTTTTTTTTTTTTTTTTTTTTTTTTTTTTTTTTTTTTTTTTTTTTTTTTTTTTTTTTTTTTTTTTTTTTTTTTTTTTTTTTTTTTTTTTTTTTTTTTTTTTTTTTTTTTTTTTTTTTTTTTTTTTTTTTTTTTTTTTTTTTTTTTTTTTTTTTTTTTTTTTTTTTTTTTTTTTTTTTTTTTTTTTTTTTTTTTTTTTTTTTTTTTTTTTTTTTTTTTTTTTTTTTTTTTTTTTTTTTTTTTTTTTTTTTTTTTTTTTTTTTTTTTTTTTTTTTTTTTTTTTTTTTTTTTTTTTTTTTTTTTTTTTTTTTTTTTTTTTTTTTTTTTTTTTTTTTTTTTTTTTTTTTTTTTTTTTTTTTTTTTTTTTTTTTTTTTTTTTTTTTTTTTTTTTTTTTTTTTTTTTTTTTTTTTTTTTTTTTTTTTTTTTTTTTTTTTTTTTTTTTTTTTTTTTTTTTTTTTTTTTTTTTTTTTTTTTTTTTTTTTTTTTTTTTTTTTTTTTTTTTTTTTTTTTTTTTTTTTTTTTTTTTTTTTTTTTTTTTTTTTTTTTTTTTTTTTTTTTTTTTTTTTTTTTTTTTTTTTTTTTTTTTTTTTTTTTTTTTTTTTTTTTTTTTTTTTTTTTTTTTTTTTTTTTTTTTTTTTTTTTTTTTTTTTTTTTTTTTTTTTTTTTTTTTTTTTTTTTTTTTTTTTTTTTTTTTTTTTTTTTTTTTTTTTTTTTTTTTTTTTTTTTTTTTTTTTTTTTTTTTTTTTTTTTTTTTTTTTTTTTTTTTTTTTTTTTTTTTTTTTTTTTTTTTTTTTTTTTTTTTTTTTTTTTTTTTTTTTTTTTTTTTTTTTTTTTTTTTTTTTTTTTTTTTTTTTTTTTTTTTTTTTTTTTTTTTTTTTTTTTTTTTTTTTTTTTTTTTTTTTTTTTTTTTTTTTTTTTTTTTTTTTTTTTTTTTTTTTTTGCATAATTTACTCATATTGAAGCTGAGGTATTAATAATAATATATGTTTGGATACTTTCTTTTTTGATCTTGATAGATGGAAGTTAATAAACTGTAGATCTTTCTCAAGATCCACAGTAATTATAATAATTTAATTACAATATTCCAGTTTATTTATTCCTATTAATTTAATTGATATACTGTTTAACCATCTATTCTCTTTATATAAAATACTTATCTTAAAATCATCACAACACTTTTTTTGTTACACACAGACACACACCAGTGAATCATTGTAAAATTTTTGAATGAGTGAGCAAGATTATGTATTGTATACCACAGGCTGCATGATCTTTCCATATCTATCTATCTATCTTCAGGTCAGAACCAAAAATCACATATGGTGGCAACCAATACCCATTGGAGACCATCACGAATCCCAATACTCGCATGCACACTATCATTATCATTTCACTTTGCTTCTTGAGAAAATCCTGCAGATCATTTTAAAATCATTGGATGATAGGGTAGGGCTGAGCTTTTGTACAAAGGAAAAGCTTTTGAAAAAGGGGGAAATAAAAATAGAAATGGCACCAGGAATCGATGAATTGTCACATAATTTTTGTGATGAGGTCTAAATTGGAAAGAATATAAAAATTTAAAGATTTTATAAGTTCTATTCTTTGCATGTTATTTTATTTATCACCTGATGACAGTAGATTAAGCTTATTAAAAGTAATTAAATATTATTCAGTTTTAATCAATTGCTTTAAATTTTTCTTAACATCTCAAAACAGTCAAAATTTTATTTTATTAATTATTTTTTACCTTGTTATCTCTGTTTAACTAATATAGATGCATAAATTTGTCTTAATAAAATATTAATTCTCGTATGCTACAGCAATATGATTTCATGATTGTCTAACAAATTTAAAATAGTTTTTAATAACAAAACAATTTTGCAGCAGTTGTAAAAATATTAAATATTTTTATAATACTGATGAATTACTGAATGTATTAATGAATGAATGTAGAATACTGATACATTTTTATGACAATTAATTAGATAATTGTAATTAAATGTTTGCTTTTAAATTTAAAAAAAATTAGCAAAATTTATTGTTATATTCAGTGGATGTATACAGGATTTTGAGAATACAAAATTACTTTCTTCCATTAAAATCCTGTGATGTGCATTGTTATTTTAAAATAAAAATAAATATGAAACTGATTTTGTTATCAATGGGTGCTGCAACACCATAGACACCACACCAAGATACACCCTTGGTTATATTAATTGTTGAATTTTCTTATAAAAATGTATATTTTCATTATTCAGGAAATATTTATGTATAATTTTCATGGAAAGAAAAATATAGCTTATATGTTTATTGTTTTATAATAATTATAAAGTGATAAAAAAATTATTATAAAAAGTTTAGTTAATATATCAATAATGTAAATATTGTAATTGATTACATTATTTTTCATTTTAATTATTTTATAAGTGAAAAAATGTTAATAACAATATAAAAGAGAATATTTTAATGTAGTGTTTAGTGCTTGGCAGGCAAAGTCATCTTCAGTATCTCTCCAAAACTGGGATTGTATAAATACACAACATACAAAAGCAACACCGGTACTGTGAAAAAAGAAAAATTACTAACGTTTTTGTCTATATAAAAATGTTCTATATCGTTTTTACCTGATGATGTCTGTTTTTATATAGATGAAAACGTTAGTAAATTTTTTTTTTCACAGTGTTGGTGTTGGTTTTGTGCATTGTGTGTTTATAGTGTTTAGTGTCTGTTTATTCAAAATTCACACAAAATACTTTGTTTGCAGCAAAACAGTTTAATTACAAATGTTTTTGATCATTTAGTGTCTGTTTATTTTGTCATCTAGGTTGTCTGATGGTATAAAGCATTCTCCTACCATATTAGCCTGATGTTAATTCAGATTAGTCATTGTTTCTCATCTATGTTGTTTAAATCCATTTCTGAATCAACCCCTATTCTAATGAATAAAATAGTATGCACTATATGTAATGAAAATAGTTTATCATATTTTAGTTCATGAAAAGGTACTGGAAAAAATTGAAATTAAATAATCTATAGAATTTATAAGTCACATAGATGACATTTATAAGATAGTAGTAATTTGAAAAAACACTGCTATGCATATGGGAATATTTTACGTAAACAAAAAATTTAATAGATTGATAAATATTAAAAAATGAATAAAATATGTAAAATTGTATTACTGTATAAACTGCATAATTTGAAAAAAAATTATTAAGTATTTTTATTGCAATACATTTATTAATCAAGTTATTGTAAAGTTCAAATATTCCTTTAAAAGATCTTTTATATAATGTAAGTCAATATTTTCAGAATGTGATTTAAAATGTTATGACTTCAAAAGCGATTCAGATTTATTTATTTTTGAAAAATATATTTGGAATATGGACCATTTTATACAAAGTATTGCATCGCATTTGAAAGTTGGTCTTATTTGTATTGATCTTGAACATTCCCATCAAATATCATCATTCTACAAAACATACTCAATCATATATCATTCTTCAAATTATATTTTGAAATATTTTATAACCAGAGTAATCACTTATAAATTTATAAAGGTGGTAGATTTTGCTCTTCACAACACTCAGCGAGCAGCTGCACGAAAGTATGGTGTTGCACAAAAGAGAGTGTTTGCTTGGGTCTTGGCAAAAGATGAACTACAAGAAATTCAGAATTCAAATAATCCTCAAAAACAGGATGTAGAAGAGGTTGATAGGTTATTGTGGAAATGGCGTAAAGATATGATAGATAAAGGTATTTTTATTTTGCTTTTATCCAGTAATAAAAATTAGGTTAGTCTTGTATAAGCTATGTTTATATTTACAGGTAAAGATGTTTCTAAAAGAATGATATGTGCTCAGGCTCGATTCCAATTTAAAAAGATGGGAAATTCTAATTTTGTTGGAAATAATCAGTGGTACAATAACTGGATTAAAAGAATTAAAAAGAAAGGATTTCAGTTAGATATTCCAAGCAATGATACAGAATCATTAAAAAATATAATGGAACAAGATAGTAGCATTAATGAGGTATGAATTTAAATAATTTAAATTTTATTGATATAATTTTTCAAGAATATACTATCTCTTTCAAAATTATATGTAATCAATAACCTATTTGCTTAATGATTTTATTATATGCCAATTGAAATGTTCTGATTTTTCAACTTGGTTTGAAGTGATTCTGTTAAAAAATTAAGGTTAAAAAACTATATGAAAATAACTATTTTTTTAATTCTAAACTAATATTGTAATAATTGCCACTCACAATGACTTTGAAAATGAGTGCTTTGATTGAATTTGTAAAATTTAAAATATAATATATATATTTAAAAATTTATCTAAATACTATATTAAATTAAACAATGAAAATATTTTTTATCTTTAATGTTACATTCTTACTTTCTGATATAAAATTTTTTTTACATTCCTTTTGAAAGTAAAACATATTAAAGTTTTAATTTATTATATTTCTGATTCATACCATCAAACATATATTTAAGAAAAAATAAACACAGTAAGTTCAACTACTTTTGTTATATTTTAAATACATTATCAATGATTAATTCCAAATTCCAATTTTTTATATTGTCATTCCATAAGTTGTAAATAATATGTTACAATAAGCATTACAGATATTATTTTATATGATTTATTATAATGGAACATTACATAGTTTTCACACTAAATAAATATACAATATAAAATTGCTTTTAACAGCAAAAAATTATAATAATATATTGAAATAGGTAATTTTTAATATACCAATATTTCACAGAATGAGTTCTTTAGATTTTTATTTATATTGTGAAATTGTGATATTTGATTTTCTGTTAATACAATAATTCTAATACTATTATCTTTTGCTGAACATGTATAAGTGAAATATATAAGGATTTTATTTATTTCAAAAACATTTTTGGTAATATTTTATCAATAATCAAAATCAAATAGACACTTATGTAAAAATAAATCATTATATACAAACATCATAAGAAAACTCCAGCTTAAATTTCTTTAATTAAGAACATTTTCAATGCAGTTTGATGGTTCAGCTTCAGTAGCTTTCAATCTGTTCAAATGTGAAGATCAAATTCATTTGAATATCAGTTTAAAATCAAATATAAAAGGACAAGGATAACTGAAATATTTTGCAATTTCAATAGTTACTTATTGAAATTGCAAAAATACATATAAAATTTAATGATGATAGTAATATTTTATAAGGTATTAGTTAAACAACATGTTAATATTTTTCTGCTAGCAATATTAAACAGTTTTAGCTAAAACAATCTACTTGTATGTATATGAAATCAAGCAAAATAATATATAATTAAAATTAGAAACAATATTAATAATTACTAATTTATTGCAAAGTTACTGTGATCAAATTTTATCTTAAAGATTTAATTGTTGCAAACAGTTTTCTATGTGTATTGAATCAAATTAGTTAATTAAATTATAAAATTTGTTAATAAATCAAGAAAAAGTTGTTAAAATGAAAAAACTTGCAATAAAAAATAAAACATATAGTATCATTTGAAATAAATTGATTTTTTAAAATATTGGTTTATATTATGGCTATTATCTGCAGTGTCATCTGTTAAATATTATTAGGCATTTATTTGAAAAAAGATTTATATGATATTCTTCAAAGAATTCACAAGAATTTAAATTAAATTTTTCATTAAGCCAATTTTATTATCTTCATTTAGTTCAGGCTGTTAGTTACCTCACACAAATTTATCCTAATTTCGAAATCCAAAATTTATAGGTGAAAGGTCAGAAAGAAAGTATGGAAAATGACATGTTTGTATCAGTAACAGATAATTTATAGCTCATAAGTTTCATAATTTATGAAATTTCAAAATCATATAATTCAAAAGCTGGGTGGTTTCATCCGAGTTTTGATAATTGTAATATATTTTAATGTAAGTTTTCATCTTTATCTTTAAATTATGGATATCTAAAAATCACTTGCATAAAATGAACATTTATATAGTAACCATTTAAGGCATAGTTTAACAGAATGGCAATGCACTTGGAAAACTATAAATTGTATAGAAATTCAGTCCTGGCAAACTTTGATAGAATCATCTATGAATAGTGTAAAGAAAAATTTTTTTATCAATATTTTTTAATGAAACTTCTAATTTTAAATTATTTAAAATACAATTTAATCTATTTATTTTTTTAGTAAAAAGTTAAATAAAAAAAACTCTTATTATCAAATTAGATTAAAAAAAGTTTATGAAATTATTTCTGATATTTCTGATTTCTTGAAAATATTATTTTTATGTAACCACGTTAAGTTTTTATAAAGTAACACAATGTAAAACTTGTTAATTTTGAAAGTAAATAAAATGTTATCATAGATACAGTATTTTAATTTACAAGAAAAATTATGTTCCTGCATGCACACCACAAACATACAAATATTTATTGGTATAGATTTGAAATTGAGCAAACTGTTCTCATATTTTTTGTTATTTTACTCAAGTAATGGTATTGATTAGAATTACAAGGAAAAGTTGTTGGGGGGAAATCCTAAATAGATAAGATTTTAAAAAGTTTTAATACTAAATATATTGTTAAAAATATCATTAATATTGAAATAATCCCAAATTTCTATTCCAACAATGTCAGTTTGAATAATTTAAATTAAAAAGTGTATTTTTTGTTCTTTATAATAATTAATGCATTTATTCTGCATAATATTAAAATGTGATTATTAAAAAGAAAATAGGTTTGTTTTCTTTATAAAAGCAGCACAACTTGCTTTTGATTTTATTATTAATTTTTTTATGCATTTAATGTTTTGGTTAAAATATTCATAGATTTAAATTAAATGTAAAAACATTTACTCCAAGGGATTGCTTAGTAGGGTTTCTCATTTCTTGGTCCTTTGCTTGTCTCAGGATTTCAAGAAAAAGTAAACTGTTTCCCAGTATCCAGGATATAATCCATTATTTTTAAGATATAAAATCTTGAAATCGAATAATATAATTATTTTTCATTTTTAAGTAATTTAATATGTTCTGCAACCTCCAAAATAAAAATGATAATAATAATAATAATAATGTTGTGTAAAATATGTATTAAAAATTACCTTTGAATTACATGAAAATTTTCACAAATAGAAAAAATTTATTAATGTTTGTTGGAAACTGCTTACAACTAAAATGCCTTTGAATTGAGTTGAAAATTTAAAGAAAAAAATGAACTTAGATCAAACTTCTAACTTGGAAAGTAATTTTTGCTTTTTTAAATAAAACATAATACAAAATATTTTTGTGAATATTTATGATAAGATTTTTAAAAAGCAAAATTGGTCACTCGATCTAGTTCTTATTTTAGTAATAAAATGCCTCACTACCGAGAATGCCCTTTTCGATTCAATTGATGTGGGTGGGATCATTAATGCATTTAAGAGAAGAAAGATGTTATGTGTTTTTTCACCTGTAGCCTGGAAGATTTCTAGCTCATTTTTGAGATTTATTGCAGTACTTCTTTTGCTGTCTAGTATTCTTGATTTGTCTACATCAGCTGCTTTAATAGTAGCATCAAGCTTATAGCCTGATAATTTATCAGTTCATTTGGTTTTAATGATTAGGCTTATGAAGAAAAACTTTATACTTGCATAATTCATACTTGTTTGTATCCTTGCCCAATTTGCACAATCTGGCATAATGAATCTGGCATACTGAAGCTAACTGGGCATGGTTAAAACTTAAGACAGCATCAGTGCACAGTGCAATTATTTAAAATATTACAGATTCTGAAAAGTAAAGAATTTCAGTGTCCTATCACAAATAGATTACATACTGATTATTGACAATCTGTGACATGCCATAACAAGCAAAAATTTAAAAAACGAATATAAGCAAGCTTAAAATTAATAAATACAATTGTATTATGACAGTTTATGAGTCAATTATACTTTCTATTTGCAAAATTTCTTCAACCTTAACACAAAATAAGAAAAAAGTGAACTTTTAAGAAATTTGAGAGATTTCTTGGGATGAGAAGAGTTTTCCAGGTTAAAAAACAGCCAGAGATTCCGTTAGAGAAACCAAAGAACTTAGTGTTTTATTTTTAAAAATATGCTAAATGTTCTGACCATCAAAGTTACTAAAACATATTTTTATTTTTTGTTGAAAAATATGATCAAATTCATACTCTGAGCCAAACTGCTATTTTGTTCTTAGTTTCTTTCTTTGGATAAATGTGATTTATACTTTCTATTATTAGCTCAGTCACTCATTTGTTTCATAAATACACAACAAGTTTTTATTAATTATTTTTCAAGAACATTTAAATTGTTTTCTTTATTAGATATATAAGTTAGATACTTTATCAAACATATTTTCTTTTACAACTGAAATCTTACTTTTTGGTTACCTTCTGTAAAAATTAAGTTGTTTTTAAACAAAGCAACTTTTTTTTTTTTTAAGTATTGTCTTCCACAGTATAAGATTGGTTTGAGTAACAATTTTAATTGAGTATGTTTTGCATAATTTTTAATTTTATGTCAGCTGATAAACAAATATTTAATACAGTAGTACCTCAGGATATGAATGCTCCAGCATACAAAATTTTCAGGATATGACATGAAATTTGAACACATTTTTGCTCCACGGTACGAACAAAAACTCACCATGCGACGTTACATTAGTTTGTAGTGCCATTTTTTATTCACTTCTGTTCATCAATCTCAGTCCATGTGTTTGCTTTGTTGTGGAACAATCTCACTCAATAAAGGGATTTCCTTTATCGAGTGAGGTATTATCAGAAAGTGACTGATTTTATTGAAAAGAAACATCCCGAAAAGGTTCACACTGGCTGTATTGCTGCTCGGAGTAATGACATTTGCCTAAGTCATTTTAGAAACATTTTAAAAAGTAGGCAAAGCCAAACCTCTTTGGATAGATATTTTACCAAGTGACCTCTATCCAGTGAAAGTGCTGGTGGAAGAAAGAAAGCAAAAAGCAGTGAATAAAAAATTTTAAAAAATATATAAAACAGAAAAG